AACTTGGGGACGGTAAGCGCAGATAGCCCTCGTGTAGCTATTTGCGAAATTCAAACCAAAGGCACGATTCCTTGGCAAACGTACAAATAAAAGCCCTCATAACGAAAGCAGTAAAAATTGGGATTTGGCCCAGTTTCTTCCCAAAAGGAAGAGTAATTGTTTGTTCTTACTTTTACATAATAAAAACTTTTTTCAATTTTGCATTATTACTAGAGCCACGTTTTAGTCAACAATATTACTACGGTTCATGACGTTATCTGTTCTCAGCAACGAATAACTTGCTTAAATCCCTCAGAAAGTTTAGTTACTAAGCCTATTTTATTACATTCTAATCTAATAGTAGGGTAATCATTTTTGTCAAGTCAAATAAGCAATGATGTAGAAACACAAAAGATGGAAAAACCTAAAATTCGCCCATATGGTGTTTAAATACAAAGGATAAAGCATTCTAAATTTAACGATTAGATCTCGGAGTTACTGTGCCTCTGATCATTAATTAGATGTCAGAATTTATTATGGCTGTTCTTCAATTCTTTTTTTTTTATCCTAAGGAATGAATTTTTTTCCGATTATGCTCGTACAAGTATGTCCGTCAGACAGCTCGTGGCTATTCGTTACAAAAAATAGCCCAGTCGTATGAGAGCTACGTGACATCGAAACGTGTAGTAAAGTTTAAGATATAGTTTACTTGGGTTAATATGTATCGCAATATCTTGTATATATAAGTAAATATTTTTAGGCATAGTTTGAACTTTTATTTCCACTTCTTTGATATATAGTCTTTCAAAACCAATTGTTCTAGAATCAATTTTGTAGTTGTAATCTAAATAGCATGACGGTCCCTAGTTCCTGGCCAATTCTGCCAGGGGCAAAAATGGTGTAATTGTTTCCCAACCGGCGCCCTTCTCATTAAAGCCATTTAGATGTACAAACTGCGCTTGGCTGTCTTAACATCCAACTGGTTGTGGCACAAGTTACTTGAGTTACCAAGACTTGCTGTGCTGGCTTTATTTATCGTCCACACCTGTTGACTTTATGGTGTTTTTCTTGGGTTGAACTATTTCCTATATATCGTAAAATAAAAAAGGAAAGGGATTTTTTTTCTTCCTGTTCTTTATCGGGTCTTTAAAGATCGGATGTCTGATTGGTTTCAGGTGAAATACAGAACTAGTTGTCGTAAAAGAAATCGGATGTCTGATTGGTTTCAGGTGAAATACAGAACTAGTTGTCATAAAAAAAAAATCCACCTGTGTGAAATTTAATCTCTTAAGGTACTGCCTGCCTCCTCCACTCCCCACCCCCACCCCGCAGTGGCAAAGCGGTAAGTTTGAAGGCTTATAACACTAAAAGCCGGGTTTCGATACCCGTGGTGAGCACAGCACAGATAACCCATTGTGTAGCTATGCCCTTTACTACAAACTAAAAAACGTTTACTCTCTTTGATGTCTCCAAGTTACGTACGCTGTCCGGTTCATTTCGAACCATTTGCTCTTTTGTTCACTTGGATTTTTTTGTGTGCAATTCTTCTTTCTATGTTCAAACCTTTTTGATGCATTACGAACTTTTTTTTTGTCGCAAACCCCTAGTTTGATTTTATTTAGCAAGTGATCAGACTTATAATTGTTTTGATCATTTAATTCATTTCTTTATGGATAAATAACTTCAGAGTCGCAGCTAACTTGACACAAAAGGCAAAGTAACCCACTGAGATGCTGATCCGTTCTGTAACCCTAAAAGAAGAACTGATTACTTAAAGTTTTGAATGGTGGTTGCACCAATAGGAGATTTCGGCAACTAAAGTTCTTGTCTCAGTTGTGCAGTATGTTTTTAAACTACACATTATTATTTTAGTACATATATCTACTTCATCTAGCTTTATAATAATAACAAAAACCTCATTACCTAGCAACTTAATATAGCTAGGAATAAGACCGCGTTCAGTTTTCAGTACCTTGAGGACATTGCGGAAATTTTCCTGCGTTGACTTGGTTGTTTCTCTCTCTAAACTGGTTGTTACAGATGTAGTCAACTGTTGCATATTCTTCCCAGTCCTTAGTGTTCTGATTACAAATCACTTGTGTGATCAAAATGCGATTGTTTTGGTTTGTTGTTGTTTTTTTTATGTTAGTCAGGCTTGGCCTGGTGGTTAATACGACCAAAATATGAATCCGGGGGTTTGTGGTTTGCGTACTGTTGCCGCAAAAACGTTATAAGAGTGACAGTCAATTCCCACTATATAGTCGGACAAGATTGCGGATGTTGATGACTAGCTGCCTGCCCCCCAGTGGCACAGCGGTATGTCTGCGGACTTACAACGCTAGAAACCGGGTTTCGATGCCCGTGGTGGGCAGAGCACAGATAGCCCTTGTGTAGCTTTGTGCATAATTAAAAAAAACAAAAACAAAACAAAGACTAGCTGCCTTCTCTTTATTCTATCAGATCAAAATTAATAATGGGTAAGCACGAACAGACTTTGTGCGAATGAAACAAAGCCTATCTAATTATCGTTCTATATTTATGTACACCTTAGAGCACACAACACTAAGGCGTGAATAGGTGGCTATGCCTAATAAACTTTGGAGAACAGATCTGTTTGTACAACAATAGGTAATTCGTGTTAGGTTTGTCATTACTGGATTTGGAGAAATGTAATCTTTGAGTGAAAAGTTGGTTACACACTGATCAAAGATAAAAATGAAAGAACACAGAACTTTTGTGCTCGGTTAGCCTCGTTAAAACCTCAGAAACTTGTCCGGACTTGATAAACTAGTTTCTTACCGAGTCTTTATCCTTTTTTGTTTTCTTTTTTTTTTGTTATTGTTATTATAAAATTTCTTGTTGGACTGCACCATTACTTATCACAGCGAAATAACAGAGAAAAATACCATCGGTATCGAACAAAGAAGTCATAAGATACTGATATTGCATTCTTTTTGGTTTTGTCATCTCACTTGAGGTCATTTAACATTGCATCATTTTTAATATAACATACTATATAATGACAAATAAAACGTATAGTTTTGTTTGTTTGTGTGTGTGTGTGTGTGTGATTATTCTAACTGTTTGAATATTTTCATAATAAAGTGTACTCCAAGTTCCAATGTATATTGCACATACAAACGTGTAAATGTTTCTAAATCGCCGGTCATGGACTTGTGATTAATATGCTCGGACTATAAATCTTGTGATTCATGGCTTCCGGTCCGTTGACGCAAAAATCGCGCTTTACACTTTATGGCCATAAGTTCGCTAAGCGAGAGACGGTCAAATCCTACTTATCCATCAGAAACGAGTGCACAATAGTTGACGATGAGTATTGTTGATTAGCTGCCTTCGCTGTATTTCACCAGTTCAAAATTAGGGACGACTTTGTGCATGTAACTATTTGTGTAGCTTTGCACGGAAATTCTGACTCTTAATTGTCCAACAAAGTTGTTTATAGATAGCGTATCAGTGATGTCAAATTAATATGCGAAGAAGTTACAGGCCTATGTATATATATAAAAAAAATGTTACTTTAAATTAAACTTCACATTATGATCATAAATCGTAGTATATTTACTCGGCTAATGTTGTCTAAAATGGTCACAAACCCATTACGAATAATTTTTTTTCGTTAAGACGTTCTGTATATGTCATTTAAGTGCAGTTGATATAGGACTGCAAGTAAAAAAACACAAGTGTAACAGAAATAAACAACAAACTGATTTATGGAGCCATGTGGATATTTAACATAAGTTTTAAAGTGTTTAGATAAAATTCCTTTGTATTTTATCTTCTAGATATTTTTACAGCTGCCACTAAGAAACATAATAACCTGACTCGTATTGCTCAATCTTGCCCATGTAATGGGGAAAACACTTCCCTAGTTTTAACATCAAGATGTGGCAGTTAAATGGCCTACACTGAGATACTTTTTTGGAATCACTTTAGAGATATTTCCCACGTAGACTGAAAAATGCGCCTCGGTACATCCAGACTTTCAATTTTTCGGGAAAGAGACCCCCCCCCCCAACTTAGGGCTTTCTGCAAAAGACGCTTTGTTATAAGATAATCGTTATCTTTATAAAAAGAAACAACTACAAACAATTTTTACCTACGCTTAAGAGCAAAATAATGAAAACTTTTTGCTTGTTTGTAACATTTTTGTGATAACGTAATAAAGGTCGTTCCTCGCTGAATTTTCAAAAGCATAACAGATGTAATCAGACACACGTGTAATTGGCAGTATTTAAGTTTTTGGTAATTATCAAGAACTTCTGACCAAATATTAAGCTGACTGTATAAATCAAAACTGAAAAAAAAACACACAAATTAATGACTAGAACTACTTAATTTCATAAATCAACAAAGAAAAAATCTAAAACGTAAATGCATTAGAATACATTGAATCGTCAGTTTCGTGTCCTCGAATTTGATGTTCGTAACCCCCAAAACAATCAAAACAACTGGCAAAGTTTTGGGCACTTCTTAGGTCCAAAAATTTAATTATCTTCACAAAACATTTTAACTGCCCCCCAGTGGCACAGTGGTATGTCTTCGGACTTACAACACTAAAAACCGGGTTTCGATACCCGTGGTGGGCAGAGCACAGATAGCCCATTGTGTAGCTTTGTGCTTAACTTCAAACAAACAAACATTTTAATCAATCGAACACAAATATACCGAATATCTTCATCTCGTGTAATAGTAATTCGAAGAATGCACGAGTCAGAACAAAATGTTATAATTGTCCACCACGCTACATTTGCCATATCTAGTGCCAATACAAGGGCTCATCAGGCCAAAGAAAAGAGCCAGGATTAATACGGTAGAGGGTGTTACTTAAAATCATATTCGTCTTATTTTACATTTGTTATATCGGTTGATTAGTAATTGTGTGTGCTTGTTATATGAATTATTTTATAATTTTGCCAGTTGTATAATGACATCTTTTTAATGTAATCGAGTTTATTAACTTTAGTTGCTTCATACAAATGTTCTTTTATTTTTTATTGCAGTGAATGTAGTTGAGGCCTTACAGGAGTTCTGGCAGATGAAGCTAGCTCGTGGTGCTGACTTGAAGAATGGAGCTCTTGTCATATATGAATCTGTACCTTCATCCAGTCCTCCCTATGTATGCTATGTTACGCTCCCTGGTGGTAGTTGTTTCGGAAGCTTTCAGGTATGAACCAGTAATATTAATAGCTCAAAACGTTCTGGGGTATTTGTCAATGCGTCCCATTTGTTGTCACTCCACTGTGACATAAGCCTAATATTAAGTCCAGCACTCGCGATATTAAAAGAGTAGAAAAACACGTGTATCAGTTTCTTTGGAATTATGTGAATCATTTCATTTGGCATCTTTACTCCTTTTTTTACGCGACATACAGAGTAACTTCTTAGTAAACCCGCTCTGTTAACTTTTTATAACTGTATAAGATTTAAAATCGACCAGCTCATCGGATATTATTGTAAAATTGTTACAGTACTTGATATGATGAAAAGTAAGTGAATGTTTTCTCAAGAAATGTCCAATACTTTACGAGGCGCAGGTTATCCCTTTGGTTGAGTTCTGGATTTCGAAGCTAGTGAGCCGAAATCGAAACTGTATGATACCACAAGATATTCCTCACACTTTAAGCTGTCAGTGAGTTATAAGAGTGATAGTCCGTCCGTTAGCGTAGATAGGGTGCTACTAATAGGCTGCTTTCCCCTTTGGTCAATGGTTAGAATTTAGAGACCGCGGTAGGTAGCCTTAACAGCTTTCCCATAAATAAAAATACTGGTACTTTCCAGGCTCTGAACGAGTCATGTGTAAGCTATATTTGCTGCTTACTAATACGATTACTTTGATATCTGACATGTCCTGGTGGTTAGGTCGCTCGATTCACAATGAGTGTCGCGGGCTCGAATCCTGCCACCGAGCATGCTTGCCTTTTCAGCCGTGGGGGCGTTATAATGTTACGGTCAGTCTCACTATTCTTTCGTAATCATTCGTAAAGAATAGCCCAAGAGTTGGCTGTGCGTAGTGTTGACTAGCTGCCCACGCTCTAGCCCGTCATTTCAAAATTTGTGGCTGCTAGCGCAGATTGTCTTCGAGTAGCTTTTCACAAATAAAAAATAAAGAGAAAGATAACAGTGCATCACAGTCAATCGGTAAGCCCCTGCCAGCATCTCAGTATCTAACTTAATGCACTGACACACATTTATTAAACTTTCCTGATTTTTTTTACTACTTATTGTTGCTCTTCGTATGTAAACAGTTGTTGCAGCTTTCACTGAAATTATTCACACCAATACCAGCATATTCAAAATATACATGTTTATACAGCATAAACAAATTCATTAAAAAGAATATCATAAAACAGCCAGCCAGTATTAAGCATCAATCCACAATTGATAACTTGGGTCATATATTTAGATAGCAGAAAGCTATTGTTTAATGAAAAGTTTACTTGAATAAAAATTGCATATGTTATTCTTTCTTAACCTTTAATTACCTAACCTCTTGTAGTATTAATAGTACAGAGGGATGAGTACATTATATTAAACGACTTTAGATATGCAAATCGGTTAGTCACATGTTAACCATATCGTGGAACTCAAGGTATAAGGACTACATCTTGACATTCTTTAGCGTTGCGTAGGTAGTTTGCCACCGATAGATTGTTTATGGGAATGGCATGTAACAAGCTTTTCCGATGAAAAATAATAATAAAAGGGGGGATATGAATGAACTTTGGGACGAGGACCAACCAGACAGAGACCTGCAAAAGGTCGTGGTAAGCAAAGTACGGCGTCTTCTAACAGGCGGGAATCTATCAGTACAAAGGTTAGTGCCAAAAGTCACACACTTGTACCAAGCATCGGTATGCAACATAGCTAAGACGTATCTTCGTCTTGAAAAGCCACATAAGTCACACGATGCATCCAAAACATATCCAGGAAAAGAAGACCAACTATAGGAAACAGTTCTCGTGCCATTTTCGACCAATTAATGGATACAAACAAAAATTATGCACAGCATGTCGAAAAACATTTTCGAAGGGATTTATGATAATCGATGGATACTGCGTCAGAAACAAGTTAGGGATCTGAAGAGTGGATACAAAGATCAAGATGAACTTTGGTTAATATCACATCAATGTTCTGAACTCTTTTTTTACCAAATACAAATGGAATTATTTGCTTTGTATGTAAACAAAGCCAACAGGGTACGAGTTCACTAAGATAGGTCTTCAAGTCATACCTCTCATTCAACCGTCGCATACCACAAGTGAATGAAATGGGTGTTCTTGCTATTCCATATGAAAACATACAGTTCAAGTCACCTATGGATTTCTATATGATAAGACTGTTGAAGCGGGTGCTGGGAAACCGTCATTTCTGTACACTAGATGGAATACAGCAAGCCCAACAGGGAGGAGTGGTATGCTTTTGATATGAAAGCCTTACTATAGAGTCATTTGCAATGGAAATAGCCGTAGGGTTATTGTCAAGGTACAGATCGTCAGAGAGAGCATGATTGGGCGTGGCGACATGGACTGTTACGACGTAGTGAGGCTCCAAAATCATTTTCATATAACATACTCAACCCTCTGTGAACATCGATTAAATCTATGAGATCGTTATATTAATAGCGTTGTATATTGACCTCAGTGGACCTGTAGGTGTGTAAGAAAGTCCAGGCGGTGATGAGAAAACCATTTGTGCGATTAAATCCCCGAGGCAAGAAATTATATAGCTTTAGCGAAACTGAGTAATATTAGTCAAGATACGGAAGTGTATCCCGTTACCGTAAAAAGCTGACAGTTGCGAGCTGTTTTTGTTTTCCTTTATAGTTAACGAGTCATGGTAGTGAAAAGGCTTGAGTAATCCAAATAGCCCCAAATAATACCACCCACTTCGCCATAGTGTGGGAAAATGATCTTCCCATTAGTCGCAGTAACAGTGTAACAATATATATATAGACTGTGTGACCTTTCTTGAAAATTAAAGGTAACGAAAACTGACGTCGATTATATCTAATTTTGTACTTTTTTTAAAGAAAGTTATGTCTTTAATTCATATGTCTTTATTACTTCTGTCAATACTTAAATTTCCTAATCTTTTTTGTTCAAAATATAAATCTAGAAGTCTCCCATGAACATCGAACCTATACATATCGACTAACACTAAATTCGTTTATTTTCTAAATTGTTTCTTGTCACACGGTTTTGAAAAATACTGCTTTCTGTGAATAATTAAGTTTACGGACTTACAACGCTAAAATTCCAGGGTTCGATTTCCCTCGGTGAACAGAGCAGATAGCCCAATGTGGCTTTGTACTAAACAAACAAAGAAATTCTTGCTATGAATTAAGTATCTTTTGGATATTTTGTTATTATGTGATACAAATATGGCGTCATTGCTGTAGTGGTTTAATTGGTGGTAGTAGCAGTGACTAAAGTGCTAGGTATAATGATTAGCGTATAGGCTTACAGAACTGAAAGTCCAGAGTTTGAGCCCGCAATATGCCGCTGAATACGATTCGCACTTTCACCTCTAGACTCGTTAGCAAATGACAGTCAAGCATTAAGAGTTGTCATATAGGCTGTTGACTTGTTTGCCTCCTTCTGATCACCAGTTTTAAATTAGAGACGGATATGCCTGAACCTTGGGGGCCACTGAACTGGTCGTTTAGTCCATATGTTGCATAAGATGCCGCTCGGATACTCGAAAATTATTTTCGTACTTTTTTTTATTATTTTGTAACTTAATAAACGTTTCGAGAAACAGTGATTAATAGTAAGTGCTCTTTGTTTTACGTTATAATGATGATGGTATAATAAATTTATTTGGTCAGATGGAAATTTAAGTCATACTAATCTTTTACGTAGTCAAAGTTTTTTTTCAAATTTGTTGTTATAAAACAACAATCTTCTTTTTCGTTTGTATAAATTTCATCATTTCTTACTGTACCACCAAGTCTGTTTGTTGTTTTGTTTTGTTTTTTTTGCACTATCTATGTTCTAAATTATAATTTGATTGTATACTGAATCACCACTTTATTAAAACTCCAGACAGCTGTAGAATACTCCATTTATTTCCATATGATGATTAATTATCTCTTTTTATTGTCTTAACTAAAAACATTTTAAGAACCATTCAAATTATGTCTACATTTTTGTACAACTTTTCAGGGTATTATCTTTTGTTGGTTTTGTGTCTCCTGCAGCTCTTAATTTAAAATATGTTTAAATTCGGTGTGGCCCGCCCTGGCCAGGTGGTTAGGGCGCTCGACTCGCAATCTGAGGGTCGCGGGTTCGAATCTCCGTCACACCAAACATGCTCGCCCTTTCAGCCGTGGGGGCGTTATAATGTGACGGTCAATCCCACTAAAAGAGTAGCCCAATGGTTGGTGATGACAAGCTGCCTTCCCTGTAGTCTTACACTGCTAAATTGGGGACGGCTAACGCAGATAACCCACGTGTAGCTTTGCGCGAAATTCAAAACAAACAAAAAAATTCGGTGTCTGGTAATAATGGCACCGGTAAAACATTATTATATTTATAAAATATCATTTTACTGTTGTTGTTTTTTTCTCCAGAGTTTTTAAATTGGATTTTAAAATATTGTAGAAATATTTGAAACATGAGCAGCACGTTGCTAAATACAGAATTTATAAGACTTTCAGTAAATAAATCGTCAGCACGAAATGCACCGTATTTTTCGGAATATAAGACGCACCCTTATTTTGAAGACAAAGTTTTTGTTGGGGAAAAGCTACAGTCACATTTGAAAGATTTTTATTGAACAAAAATT